TCCAACATCCCCAAGCAAAACAAAACAAATTAAAACAAAAGACCACTCCCAGTCTGCAACTTACATCTCCAATGGCTTTCTCTCTCTCCACTTCCCCCAAATTCTGTCCCTTCTTCCCCATTTCCGCCAAATCATCCCCGTTTTCACTGCCTTCTTTTCTCTATTTTCGTTCCCCTTCAACACTTTTCCATTTGGTACCTCCTTCCACCTCCCTCCTCAAGACCTCCATCATCCCCTGCTCCCTCAATCCTATTTCAACCCCAACCTCTTCCCCTTCCCTCCGCTGCCACCCTGACTACATCCCTAACCATATTCCAGACCCCAATTATGTTCGCATCTTCGATACCACCCTCCGGGACGGTGAACAGTCCCCTGGAGCCACGCTCACCTCCAAGGAGAAGATAGATATAGGTCGTCAGCTTGCCAAGCTCGGCGTCGACATTATAGAGGCTGGCTTCCCTGCTGCCTCCAAAGATGATTTCGAAGCGGTGAAGACCATTGCGAAGGAGGTGGGTAATGCCATGGATGAGACTGGTTATGTTCCTGTTATATGTGGGTTGTCTAGGTGTAATGAGAAGGACATCAGAACTGCGTGGGATGCGGTCAAGTACGCCAAGAGGCCCAGGATTCACACTTTTATTGCAACAAGTGGGATACATATGGAATATAAGTTGAAGAAAACGAAGAAGGAGGTTTTGGAGATTGCCGGGAGAATGGTTCGATTTGCTAGGAGTTTGGGGTGTGACGATGTTGAGTTTAGTCCTGAAGATGCTGGCAGGTGTTGTTGTGCTAGAAATTCTATTTCTTTTTGTTTGTTTTTTTTTTTTTCCAATGATGAAAAGAATTGATTATTGATTTGTTTTGTTTTGTTTTTATCTGGATCATCCCATCAGATCTGATAGGGAGTTCCTGTATGAGATTTTGGGTGAAGTGATCAAGGCTGGAGCAACTACTCTAAACATTCCGGATACTGTTGGCATAACTTTGCCTAACGAGTTTGGACAGTTGATTGCTGATATAAAAGCCAATACTCCTGGAATTCAGAATGTTATTATTTCAACTCATTGCCAAAATGATCTTGGACTTTCTACTGCCAACACAATAGCGGTATGTCTCTTCTTCCTTATTAAATTCCAAAAGTAACTCTTAACTATATTGCACTCACATCTCATTTCCTCTACATTCAGGGGGCTGCTGCTGGCGCTAGGCAAGTGGAAGTAACCATCAATGGCATTGGTGAAAGAGCTGGAAATGCTTCGTTAGAGGAGGCAAGTGTTTGGTTCTTGCCTGATCAGAATGAATTTGTCTCATCAATGCAATGCAAAATTAGATAAGAACGAAAATGTGGGACTCAATCTTGCTTTATTTCTAGGACATGATTTATCCTTCATTCTCAGACAATAGTTTGGTATATGATGGTAATCAGTATTTTATTTTCTCAGCCTTCTTTATGGAGTTCTTAGACACTTTTTTTTTTTTTCTAGGAAGTGGTCAATAGTTTACCTCCCATTCATCATTTATCTGGTTTGTACATCCAATTTTTTATGGTAGTCTTTTTAGCTTGTTATTTATTCCAAAGGTATTGAGTGAGAGAAAAACAGATGTTGCTATGGTGCTTGAAGGCTGGTATGATGCCTTTTTCTTCTCTACCTGTTGAATTTTAGTGTTGATATTTATGTTGTTATGCAGGTTGTCATGGCCTTCAAATGCAAAGGGGAGTACGTATTAGGAGGTCTTTATACAGCAATTGATACAAGACATATTGTGATGACAAGCAAGATGGTGATCTTTATGTTGCATTTGAGTTATGGATGATACAAGAAAACTCAGTCGGATTTGCTTTGGTTGCCTTCATTTTTTTGACTTATACCAGGCTTTTTAGGTGGAAGAGTACACTGGTCTGCTTGTGCAGCCACACAAGGCTATTGTTGGAGCTAATGCATTTGCTCATGAAAGTGGTATCCACCAGGTTTGTCATCACTGATCAGTGTGTCTGTATACAGGCCAGTTATTAGCTGACCCTACTTAGCTGCATGTGAATCCGTTACAAATTGAATGTGCATCTTCTAATTAAGTATGGAAAATTGCCTGTTGAGTGATATGTTTTGTTTCAGTTATCTGAGCCATAGCTTCTTGTTCTTTAGGATGGAATGCTAAAGCACAAAAGTACTTATGAAATTGTATCTCCTGAAGATATTGGGCTTGAACGTTCCAATGAGGCTGGTATAGTCCTTGGTAAACTTAGGTTGGTGTTAATATTTGGAAGTTGATTGTTCTTTTTCCTTTCTTTAAGGAAATTTTTATTCTTACCTTGTACATCTTGTCCTTTCACTTTGTGTATGTAATTATGTTTAGTGTTAGAGCCCAGACAATTGTTTGAGCGTGAGCAATATTGTTTTAAGTGACTTTTTACTAAGCTTTTCAGTGCTGGACACAATAATTTCAAATGATTGGATTAAGTAGTTAAAGGTTTGATACAATTGAGCAATATATTTTGGTATTAATAATAGGAAACAAAAAAAAGAAAAGAAAAAAAAAGGCATCTTCTCTAATGGATGTACCTTAATACTTCCATAATCATGATGTATTTTCCTAGTGTTGTGGATTTTATTTGATCGTGGTTGGATAGATCACCTATTGAGTGTCAGCAGAACTGTTGGGGCATGAATGGGGCTAATCTTCACAATGGCTTTTGTGAATGAGTATAACTTGTGCCAAAGGCTTGGGTCATTTCTTAGGGATGATGGATAGCATTTCCTGTAATTTTGCTGCCCGTTAAATTTAAGTAGTTTTGTATGATAGGTGTTGTAATCCTACTGATGGATGAGGGATTTTCCTACTTTCAGTGGTCTTTATAAACTCAACAGTTACAACAGTGTGACTTCTTTTCTGTTTTCTTCTATTTTGTATTATATCTGGTGAAGTGGACGTCATGCTCTGAAAGATCGACTGAAAGAGGTAATCAGAATTACACATGTAGGATTGGTCAGCTTACTGCCCTCTATGGTATTTATATCTAATTACTTGGTTCTTCATGCTCCTCTTAGCTTGGTTATGAGCTTGATGATGATCAGCTTGGGAATATATTCTGGCGTTTCAAATCAGTAGCTGAACAGAAGAAGGTAACCAAAAAGCTATGATGATATCCTGGAACTTTTTTCCCCTATGTATCAATTCTTATTTTATTGACTGCTGTATCAGAGAGTTACAGATGCTGATCTAGTAGCATTGGTCTCAGATGAAGTTTTCCAGCCAGCTGTTGTTTGGAAGCTTGGTGATCTACAAGTAAACTAGTCTTGGGTTCTTCTAACATTTTTTTTTTTTTTGATCGGTGGGTTCTTCTAGCATTGTTTCATCCTGAGAATTAATTCTTAATTTATCTTCAATGTGAATGGACCTAATACATAGGTTACATGTGGAACTCTTGGTCTTTCTACTGCAACGGTTAAACTCATTGGTGCTGATGGGAGTCAGCATGTTGCTTGCTCAGTTGGAACTGGACCAGTAGATTCAGCTTACAAAGCCACTGATCTGATTGTGAAGGTTTGATCAGGGAAATTAGTAGTATTTCTTCTCTTGTTCCCTTCTTGGCAGTGTTTCAATAAACTCCACATGCGTATGCAGGAACCGGTTACCCTTCCGGAGTATTCCTTGAATGCAGTTACTGAAGGCATTGACGCCATAGCTACCACTCGTGTTCTAATTCGTCCACAGAAAAATTACACATCTACTCATGCTTTGTCGGATGAAATAGTTAATCGAACATTTAGGTAATGCAGAAAGCCTTTTTTGTTGTTGTTATTGTTGTTGTTGGTTTCGTTTTTTATGCCATCTCGTGCTTGAAATTAAGTACGGAAATGTTTCTTGGTGGCAGCGGCACGGGGGCAGGAATGGATGTTGTTGTGTCCAGTGTGAAGGCCTACATTGGGGCATTAAACAAGGTGTTGGGATTGAGGGAGTTAAGTTGAAGAACGTGTTGGATTTTGGGTGAGCTATTTTTTTCAAAGTATTGTTTGGTCTAGAGTTATAAGTTGTCTAGGGTGTGCTAGTTTTTAGTTTATTATAAATAAATTGTGTAACCCCTTGGATGGATCAATTAAGTGGGTGGTTCAATTAAGTGTCTGAGGATTTAAATTAAGTGTCTGAGGATTTAAATTAAAGAATTATCTCTTTTTGTATAACTTATCGTTGTTAGATGTACTAAATAAATAAATAAATTGTTGTATAGATATCTTTGCATGACCAAATGTTTGGGGCTAAGTCTTAATATCAAAACCACTACCAAAAAAATAAAATAATCAGAAGAAAAATGTGATGAATGCAAGGTAAGAGTGGTAAATTAAATTTGTGATGGAAAAATGGTGGCCGCATCTATGTTGTTTGTTATTTGTTGTGCTTGTCGTGGTTAAATTGGTTTTATTTGTATTTTTTCATTTTTTTTAGTAGTTTTAATTTTTAGAAAAAAATTTAAAATTTTATAAGAATAATAATTTACAATTTTCTTTCCTTATATCAAATTTTGAAAAAAAAAAAAATTAGTACGTTTTAACATTAAAATGTTAAAATATTTAATAATTGTTACATGATAAATTTAATAAAATTAAGATTTATATTATATTTCACACATTTAATGGTTATGATTGAATATTCTTACATTTTAATATCAAGATGTTTTGATTTTTTCTTTTTTCATCAAATTTTTATTGAATATTTTTATTTATTAAAAATATTTTAATTATTAT